TTTCCCTACTCGGTGCACGAATGCATGGCTTGCTCATCCACTCAGCATATCTCAAACCAGCATCGTTTAAAACTCAAGAACACAGTTTGGCACAACTACAGTTAGTGGCCTACATGGATGTGGTTTTAAACAGCTGTACCAAAATCATGTTCTACCTGTAACTATGCAGCACTATCAGTGTGAGTTACATCCTAAATGTGCTTTAACCCGTGTCTGTTCCTTTCTTCTCCATCACATTTTAAGCACATTTAGAAAGTAAACTTACCCCAACGTGATACAAGCCTCTCGCACTACTTGAGACCTCAGGTCTTTAGCGGATAATTTAAATGCTCCATCCAGAAGTCTTAAGTGTTGGAAGAAGTTATCATATTCTGCGGCTCCAGCCAAAAGTAAGGAACGGATCTTTTTCAGCTGTTTGCACCATAAAAGAAAGCAGTGACTGTTAATGAGCAATAAATACAAAGACAGTTATGTTTCAGGGCTGATACTTGATTTACAGGGTCATTGGACAACTGTTCCTCAACATGCATTGAGGAACTCAGTTCTCAAAGTCCAAGCAATTTTATTATTTCCGATATCATATTCAACTTGTCAGTCAAGATACTAAGTACAATAACATAAGCCCGATAGCTGTTAGAGGAATCCAGAAGTGTCGCATACAGATACTCAAACTGTATTATAACCCAAAAATGACTTTTTAAGCCAAAAGAGATCTTGAAGGTTCTCCTCTACTCCCCTTAGAAACCACCTATTTGCAACAGCTTCTAAAGCTTAGGTCCTTTCATCACTAACTATTGTATTAAAAAGATGACTTGAAGGGCATGGCTCACACTCAGATCTGAGTAATACTGACATATCTAGAATAAGTCCACTGACTTAATTAAAATAATTATCTGTCCCCACCAGAAGTGGAACCCTGACCCCATCAAAATGGGAAGTTTTCTATTAATATTACAGGGACCACCATTTCATCCTACAGATATTCTTTCTGGACACCTTCACAGGCTCTCATGTATACTGATGCCTCGATTTAAGCTCACTGTTACTCAGTACAGCAAACGAAACAAAACACAACAAAAACCCTGAAGTAAGCTGAATCAGCACAGTTTGCCACTCGGATCTGTAATACAGGATTTGACAGACATGTCAAAGTTGGTACATCAATGATGAAAGCCTGCAGTGCAGACAAGATCTTGCATCTATTTATATAACGAAAACATAGCTCACTTCACTAAATAAAACTCAGTCTTGGCATGCATATAACATATCTGATTTTCCACTTCCACCTTTCCCACAGTCATATTTATTTACTCAAAACCTAAGTGTGCAAATTCTTTCCGAATTGTTTTACACCTCTCCTTTTGCAAAAGTCCTCTATAAGCAAAGTGTTTTTTTGCCTCATCAGCAAGTTTTAGGATGTTCTGAATACCACTTCGGACATTTTTATTTCAGCGTCTGCTAGAAAATTTCTAGCTTTGCATCTGGATTTGCTGCATGACTTCCAGTTCAACCTGATGCTGCCTCAACGGATTCTTGTGCACCAAACAGCATTTTCCTTCACAGATGTGGTTTAAATTCAGTCTCATAAGGAAACATTTCCCCCAAGCTTGGGGGAACACAAGAGATGTGCATAATTTAAACTATGTTCTAGCCTCACTCTGAGGTTCTCCCTGTATCTTTTTTATGGGATTAAGCTCAGTGCAGCAGAAACTTATAGGAATAGAGTACATATCCAAGTTCACCACTTACCGCGGAAACTCTTTGTTCCCAGTCATGCTTATCATCCGATAGTATCTCTCTGATTTTGTTTATAGATTCCTCAAGATCCCGGCTGGAATAAATCTGCAAATTTAAATACAGAGTAGCACCATAATGCAAGATTTACTCCAGAAAAATCACATCACTTCCGAACTACATTCTGACATCCTTTGCTCCTCAATGCTCAAATGTCATGTGCTAGCCTTGGACACCACTAGCTTTACATAATGCAATGGATTTACACCCATTTCCTGCAATTAAAAAATTACTAAATTATTAAAGTATCATCTTTTATTATTTTACTATATTTTCACAGTTTTTCCTGCAGCTGCTGGTGGCTGTATTAGTGAAGACCCACAGGAGATCATGAGTGGACACATGTGCTGTTCAGCTGTCCCAGAAATAAAGCTCTGTTGAAGGAGAGGGCATACATGACATATCTCAGCTATCCAGCTAGATCTATCAGCAAACCTGCACTATCCAGTTGTCACACACACAACAGCAGTGATCCCAGAGGCTCAGGTCACCTTTTTTCGCTCTCAGTTCCCAGGTGGTACAGATGAAGTGTAGAGAGGCTTCTGCTGACTTAAGTTTTTGTTCGACCAGACTGCACTGTGCAGCATGTCCATCCAGCTCCATGTCCACTCCTGTGATAGCTCTATCACAACCCTCACACCCATTCCCTCTGCGTCAGAGGGTTTCACACAAACTACTGGCAGGTACCACCATTTAAGACTTTCCTCCCTCTTAACTTCCAACTTGCCTTGTCCTTGAAGATTTGCCAATACCACAGCAAAGCACAATTTGTCAGTGATTCGCACTAGGTCCTATATCCATCTTCTGCTTTTTACTACTGTGTGTTTTAACATGTAATTCTACTTACCTGAACCGTTGGGACATCTTCAAATGCCTTAATGAAGTCTTCTTCATCCACAGCACCTGCTCCCTCTTTGGCTGCTGACAGACAAATGAAAAACCCTTTTCAATCTTCTTATCAACAAGCTAATCAATTAAGAAACCACCAGCTATCAAGGCACCTACTCAGGGGAAAGTTCACTATCCAGGCAGCCTCAGAGTGCTGCAGATGTAATGAAAGCAGAGACAGGGAATTCAATGCCAGGCATAGACTAGACATTCACAGCATCCCTCAACTCCTAGGCACAGAGGGCACATTAGGGAAGTCATTACAGTAGTCACTAAACAGTAAGGGGACACAGTCTGAAAGATGAAAGGGAATATTTAATTACATGGGAGATTTTATTTTAAAGGATTTAATCCTATCTATAATAGATGAAGGTGCAGATCTGACAGGTGCACAAACAGACAAATGATAAGGAAGATAAATAGTCTCTGGAATACTAATCAGATTAGAGACTGAGGGGAACTTCCTCCATTTCTATAGAATTACTGCTCAGTTTTCTTCCTGCACCTTCGTTATCAGCAATGCCCAAAGGTCTCAGAAAAAGGCTGGTCTATCAATTTTAGATTGCACGGGCTGAAGTATAGTATGTAGCCTCACTTCAACTAGAGTTGCAGATATAGAGGCAAAAATCTACACACTGAAACGTTGACGTGATTTACTCAGTCGTCAGTGCACAACCACACAGGTCCAACCTTTCACAAATGCAAAACACATCAGAGATGTGGGGGTGGCTTGGAGATTCATTCTACCAAAGTTTGGTTGTGGCAGGCAGACAATGTACACGTAATGATTTAATAGGGGAAAATTTGTTACTGGATCCTGGGGGCCAGTCTGGTAGTCCTTGCAATAAGCTGAAACATGAACACTATAAATATTTTGCATAAAGGTCAATTCAAATATGTTATCAACTTACTTGAAGACTTGGAGCCCAGAGCTGCAGACCCAAGTCTGCGGGTGGTCCCCATCCCAACTCTGCGGGAGTTTGCAGGGGCCTTTGAAGATGTAGAGGAGCTAGCTGAGGAAGGTCTGTTCCCATCCACGGAGTCTTCATCGTCAAAAATTTTATCTGCCAAAAAAGCACACTCAGCTGTAAGTCCGATGAAGCAAAGGGACGTCTCGGGGAACATGCCCACGCAATAGCAAACATGCTGTACGCTCAGGGCTGCTCTGACAGCTCTCATCGCAGCAGTGGCTTCGTGCTAGAAATCCAGCTATTCACGAATGACTACCAGGCCACCGAACCCAAGCCTTTGCTGCTGCAGCCACTATGTTATGAACTCTTTCAATTAATGCATTCAGATGAGAAGAATAAACTTCAAATCTCCAGCAGAAAGATGCAAGCTGCAGGTAATACTTGGGGTGTCTACAGTCTGCATCTCTGATGTTTATGCCTCCAAGAGTTATTTTGTCATGGAAACCAAGACCATGAGCAAATCCAAGATCCAAGTGTGGTGGGGATCAGGCAGCACAGGCTGCCGTCACACCCTGCACCAGATGGAGAATAGATGGGGGAACCCAGGAAACATCGCATGGCAACACCCACACAGTTGATAATCCACAGGCAACTAATCACAGACCCATCTAGAGGTACATATCTACTTTGACTTTTTAAATTATCACAAGAGATTTTTCACAAGGAAATACAAAGTGTTACCTCAAATTCATAAAAACCACAAATGTAAGCTGTATTAAAACTTACTGAACCCTCTGCATATATCCAAAGGGAACTGCAGCCTCTACCTCCAAACATGAACATAAATTAACTTAAAATGAATTACAGTCACTCTGATTCTCAGCGAAGGTCACTTCAATTCCAAAGGAGCGCTTATATTGCGGTTTTACACAGATTAGCTAACCCACTTTAAAAACCAGCCTTGGGTTGAAAGGTGACAGAGTGTTTGGACAGCTGATAAATATGGTGCAGATTATTTATTGAGGCCAGAAAAGCCACCTCAGTCCCCATCACTTAGCTTCTCCACACTAACACTTCATTCAAGATTGGAGACCTGCTTCATATCCATCTCTCTCCAACAGTCCAAGGCACACACCAGCTCTCCCCCATTTCAGGAACATTTCCTTTGTAAAATTTCACTTGGTAGAAACTCAAGCAGGTGCTTTAATACATCCCTGTTCAGGAAAGCACCTGGGAATATCTAGTAACAAATAGAGGCTCCTAGTTAGACACTAATAAGTGAAATTCAATACAGGTTGAGCTTTCAAAAAAAAAAAAAATGGTAACAGTAAAGACATATTCTAGCGGAGGCAAAAGAACAGAAAGAAAAGCCTGTATTGTCCTCAGCCCAACAGCCTTGTTTTCCGTACCCAAAGTGGTATCAGCTTATTAGCAGGTGGGCATGGGAGAACTGTCACAAATCATCTAAAAACCTAAAAACTACATTTCCAATATGCACCTGTGCACATGATGCCATACTCCAACCACAGCACAACACTGAAATAGCAGATAGACAGCAGCACCCAACAAGTTAAGAAAGGTGGCCAACAACACCTCTCCCCTTAATTTTGCTGCTCAAGAAGTCTTGGAAAGGGCTAGGACAAAATATTAACATCTAAAGAAAAGGGGTAATGTAATAACAGGTACTTGGACTGCTGTTCAGGCAAAAGTGAACATATGGACTTTATCGTCAAGAAATTTAAGGTCACACAGCTCAGGAGAAGAACATGAGCCACAACTGGGATGTGGGCTCTCTCTTTAACACCGTGCCCTAAGGCAGCCATGGAGACCATGCTACATCCTTACTGACACTGACCATGTTCTGACATATGTAATTCAAAAATAATTTGAAAAGAGCTCAGGGAAGGACCATGAGAACGATTAAAGGATTGGAAAATATGTTTTTAATTAAATTAAATGAAAATTCATGGCAGGGGACTGTTTAGCCTGGCCAGGTTCTTAACAAGTTGCTTGATTATATTCTGTGTTAACACAGCAACTCAAGATTTATTAACATAGTTTTCCAGTGTGATTTATTAATACTATTTCTCACCTAATAGAAAAACACACAAAAAGGCCCCTGGCTGGAGGTTAAAAACAAATTAAGGTCTGAATTGCCTTTTTCTCCTCCCTTCCCCCCCTCCATTTTTTGCAATAATCAGACTGACTCCCTGTGAGGTTAGGAGGTGTGTCACCCAGAGAATTCTAACACAGGCTGTTCTTTAAAAGCAAGATTGAATTTTTTTTTCCTGAAAGATACCATCTAGTTCAAATAGGAATTATTTAAAAAACATTAATTAGGTGAGAGTTGCACAGAAGGTCACGGCAGATCAAAATAGATTTTAAAATATGTAATCTCTGAAGCCTCTAGGAAGGGGTTTAAGTGATGCAGAAAGACTTGTACAGACCTCAGACACAAAAACTTGTGAGCAAAATTTGCCCCAATTGCATTTATTTCAAAAGCTCACACAGATATTAAGCAAATTACTATTTATCATATATATATATATTACCAGCCAAGAGAAAGTCAGTCATACTCAAAACAAAAGATACTTTATACTTCAAAACCACTTTAATCTAGTAATAAAATTCTCTATCAGCTGCATTTCAGGCTATCTATATGCAGTCTTAGTAAACTCACTTCCTCTTTATCTGCATTTTTAAAGCTCCTCTGAAAGGAGAAAGAGGGTGTGGTTTGCTATTTCATATAAGTAAAAATTCAGAAAAACAGATATAAAAATTATCACACTCTGTAGCATTTTGGCAATTACAGCAACTATCATTTCAGTGTAAAACAGGCTTTTCTGAGCATATAGGTAAAAACCAACACTCCAAAAAACCAACCAGCCAGCCCACAGTTTTGGGTATGTTTGTATTTCAATCACAGCTTCCTGTTCATTAAGTCTACAAACTAAGCATTACGTATTTATCAGTCAGAATATTCTTTCAATAACCCAACAGCATTTTCTCATCTGAGCAGTGCAGAATGACAGCGCCACATTCAGAACTGCACATCAGGTCTTCCAGCAGCACGTGTGCAGGACAGAAAGAGAAACAAAGAGCAGAAAGAAACCTGAACACAGGAGTACAGAAAACAAGAGAAAAACAACATACTATACAGTATCATTAAAAAGCTTTTTTTTCCCTATTCATTGACTCCTGTTCACAATAATCATTTGAACAAGGATCATATTTTTTGCAGCCTATCTGCAAATCACGAGATGGTAAATTCAGCATGGGTGTAACTCTCCTGAGTCCAGCAGAGGTGCACCGAAGCGAATTGGTGCCACATTCCAACATTAAATAACCATTAAAGTTCTCCCACCCCAAGACCCCCCAGTGCTCACATATAACAGCCATATAGTACTCTCCAGCAGAGACATGCCCTTATAAAAGAGGCCTTTGTCTGCTCACCACTCTGCTGTCTCAGAGAAACAGAGAACACAATTTGCTTTACATTTTTCAATTCCTTGACATTATTTAAGAAGGGGAAAAAAAATTGCTTACAAGTACATATCCTTCTGCAAATAAGCTTCCTCAACATTCCTTCGTATTTTCCATAGCGTGCCCAGATGTAACAGTGCTTCACAGAGCGCCGCGGCTTTCAGTCCTGAACACAATCAATCACTGCCCCTCGTATTCATTAAGCATGCTGTCTTCACACGTGGATTTAAACAGCTGTGGCTTCACTCCTCTCTCCACAACTGCAGCTCTGCGGGATTCTCATCAACACCCATTTCAGCCCAGGAAACTTCAGTTCACTTCTAGGAAGGAAATTCCCTGCTAGCGAGGGGAACCCGGGACAAATAATCGGGGATGAAGATGAGCTGACTCTGCCTGGCTGGGCTGGCTTGCACTAGGAACCAGCCTGACTTTATCCCCTGGGAAGCACTAACAGGAGCATCTCAACAGCTGTCATCATTTGTCCATGACGAATAAATTTAGTCATTATTCATTTTAAAACGTAACCCCTTCAGGTCTGGGAAAGTGTAAAATGGGGAAAAAGAGACTGTGCTAGCTGTTCAGGACCCAGGGTGAACAAGGGCCCGCATTTCCCTGCCAGAACCACCAGCCTGGGACCTCTTAAAGCAAAGTAATTGAGTCTCAAATTTCCTTTCCAGTAAGAGGAGATGCTTTCTGGCTTTTAAAAACTTCATGATGTCAGATTCAAATCTTTTAGTTATTTGTCTGTAAGCTTTAGAGAAGACAGATACTCTTTAGTGACTACACGTTGAGATAGAAAGACCTTATGATCATGTCTGTTCCTAACAAAGATGCCCTGCTATGGTCTTCAGGTCCAACTTTAAAAGGTACTAAACTTGCTCTGGCCCCACTGTGCCCATTTATCATATGGCCCATATAAGTGTCAGTGCAGCTGAAGTATGCAAGATAGACAAAACCTGCAAGTAGCTCCTGCATCTCTCTCACGAGAATCTCCCTTTCAGGGGCAGACTAAGGCAGATGGCACTGGAGAAACCTGCCTTCCCACCACCACATGCCATCCTGCACCAGGAGCAGGCACACAACGGCTGAAGCTGACTGACATCTCAGCACATCAAAACCCCACACTCAACCCCTACTTGGTGGGCAAAGCCCAACGCCTGAAGATCTGAGACCCCTGTAAAAGCTGAGAAGACACACAGGCAAACCCACCGATGCCAAAGAAAAAAGGTCAAGTTCCTCCTTATTCCTTTTTGCCAGACACAACCACATGTGCACTGGTCAACGTTTTTTGAGACAGACACCCCCCTTGGACACCTCGACTCACACCCTCCCCCAAGGCCAGCGTCTGGCACCCCCATCTCCTGCTGTGACTCCTGCAGGACACCAGGCACAGTTCACTCCCCTCTGCAGGTTGTCCCACCAGCCTCCAAGCAAGACAGCTTCAGCCAAGGTTAAATGCCTCTTCCCATCAGGAACCCACGCAGGGTTTAGCTGCAAGCCTGCCCAACTCCAACACACGTACTGTACAGGTTTCTCCAGGAAAATGAGTTTATGAACCCACTAAAGGGACACATATATGCTCCTCAGCAGGATTTAATGTTTAAAAACAAAGGAGTGGCAGCCAGAAGCAGAACTACACAGGCACAGCACGTCATTAGGGTTTCTCGCTTGGCTATCTCCCACAGTTTCCCAGCTGCTCTCTCCTGGCCCCAGACACAGACCTTCCTTCTC